AAAAAGAAAGCTGGAAAAGAAGAGCAATAAAGGTTGGGGGTGGAGGAAATGCCGTATATTAAAATTCATAAAATCTCAATAATTAAAAGAGTAGTACTATAATTTAAAAAGTAAATAATTAAAAAAGAGAGAGATTAGAATGAGCATGTGAATAGACAGATTAATGAAATAGAATAGAAAACACAGAATTAAACTCAAGTGGTGTATACAGAACTTTTAATAAACAATAAACTAGCCATCAGAAATCCAATCAACTATTCAATGAATGTTTTGTCAATGTTTTGACAATGTTTTGTCAATATCTGTATTCTATTGGAAGAAAGGAAGAAGCAAAAGAAGGGGAAAGAAAAGTTATTCATGCTTAAGAAAAACCCCTCATGTATTGTATTAGGGTTCATCAGAGGACAGAACCAATAGGGTGTGTGTGCATATGTATGTAAAGCAATTTATTATAAGGCATAGCTCATGCTATTAGGGAGGTTAACAAGTCCCAAGGTTGGCAGGGTGAGTCAGGAAGCCGGAGACCTAGGAAAGCTCATGGTGTAGTTCCAACGTTGAAGCCTGGCAGGTTTGAGACCCAGGAAGAGCTGATGTTTCAGTTCAACTCTAAAGTCGAGAAAAAGCCGATGTCCCAGTTTGAGGGCAGATAGGCGGAAGGAATACTCTCTTACTGGTGGAGGGTCAGCTTTTTTGTTCTACACAGGCCTTCAGTTGACTGGATGAGTCCTTCCACATTGGGGAGGATAATTTGCTTTACTCAGTCCACGGATTTAAATGTCAATCTCACCCAATACCCTCGCAGACACACCCAGAATAATGTTTGACCAAATATCTGGGCAGCCCATGGCCCACTCAAGTTGACACATAAGATTAACCATCATAGAAGGTTTACAGTCTCTATATATTCTCCTTCCCGAAATCTTGGTGTCACAAAGGATTATAATATTTGGTTTGAAAAGGCCCCTAGAAGAGATATTTATTGCAGAATTTTGCAGCTATATTTTTAATATGTGCACAGAATTTCTCCTCTACCTCTTACTGAATAGGCTCCAATCTACAACATAATATTTGTCTAATGAATAAACATAGAGAAGCATTTGCTGTTTTCATAAGATGGGAAGGCATCAGATCATGTCACTTCTGGTTACCCATTAAATTAAACTGGCCACTGGCCATTGATTTTTGCATATTAGGATGCTATCTATAACACTGTCTCTAGCCATCAGAGCCCCTGATAAATAGGGACACACACTTCTTATTCTTTTTTTTTCTTTAGTAAGTTTGGATTTGATCTGTGCTTTGGATGATCATTGGTGGTTAGTTTACTTTGATAGTTAATTTGATATCAATATTATACATTGACATTGCATCAATATCTGATATTGAACTGACTCTGCTAGTTCAGTGAGTGAACAGAGACCACTCAAAGGCACCTGCAAGAGTGAAATCATAAAAATATTGTGGAGCATAACGTAGCTCTCATGTTTGGATCCTGCATGCTCCAAAATTATCCAAGTTATCTCCTAATTTGAAACAGGCAGAAGTTTTGAAGAGAGGCCTTTCTGAGTGCCCCAACCAGTGCCACTTTTAACCATAAGGGCACCTTTCTACAGAAGATTTTAGTCTTGGGGAAAGAAATAACTGAACTGCTAACAGGGATCACTGTGGCATGGTTTAGCTAATTGGCATTAATCCCTCACATGACTCTCTGATTTTTGCATCTGTTTTTTACTTTGAAGAAATTCAAAACCATATTGTGTGGTGTCTTAATTGACTCAAGAGAAAATCTCTCTGGCTTTTGATGAAAGAAAAAAAAATCAATAACCAACCATAAATACTGAGTTAAGGCATTCTAGTTTCTATATCTCCTATATAGCTATATTCTATATCTCCTATAATTACACTTTATCAAATAAAACTACCAAGAATAAGCCTTTTAAATGACAAACGGTTATGTAATATGGTTTTGTAACAATGGTTTTCCCAATTACCATGACTGGGACACATGCCTATTACACCAGTAGTATTCTTTGTTCCATCGGTTTTCCCCATAGTGCAAATCGCCTGTATCTATTTGTGAACTGGAGGAACTCGTGACTACCTTTCTTCACTTGCAACTGTTTTCTCTGCCTATCCCCGATCATCATGGAAAACTGAAGAAAAAAAAAATAGAGTCCTTATAAGAATAATGAAACTGAAGTCCCTCTTGGGCTTACCAAGGAAGCAGCTGTTGAAAGATAATGTGGTTCTTTTGTTTCTCTGGTAGGTTCCCAGGTGGAGAACAAAACTAGCCCCTGCTCTGCTGGGTAATGGATTTTGATGTTTCCAGGAAAGAAAATGAAGTCGTTATTAGGCAATAAAGAAAAATATTTCCTTCCTCAGTATAGGTTTACACTATTCTGTCCCTGCAAATGGATATCTCCACTAGATTAGAGTGTGTATATATGTCTTTTAATAGATTCAATAGTTTAAAAAAAGTAGGAATGTCTGCATTTCACTTTTCTCTATGTTGTTTACTATTATAATCCAGGTGTTCAGAACAGAATAGTGCCCATCACGTTGTAGGTGTTAAACGTTTTTTGATATGTCGATGAACACCTGACTTTGGAGAGTAAGATTCATTCTTGATACAAATTATAATTTTACATATATATACATTCATGCTTAAATCCACCCACGTAAATGTTTCAGTACATTAACCAAAGTCAACTTCACACTGTGAATTATCTCCTCCTTGATTTTATTTTTTTCCTTTGGAGCTTGCTTCCAGCCCAGTGAATTCAGTTCTGCCTTTCATCATCGGCAACACCCCCTGCCCTCAGGAGGTACAGGAGTTCATGGGCGAGAGATGATGCTATAATTGAAGACAATTTCTTACCTGCGTGTGTTGGGGCTGATGAAAGGATGCTGCTTTTACAGCATATCTACAGATCATCTAAAAGCCTCTGTCATAGTAGTGGCCCTAGAGGGTGGGTTTCGGTTTGTTTTGGTGGTCAAGTATTGTATCGTTCACCTTGTTTAGAATTGCCAGTGCATGGTGATGACAAAAATCAGACCAACTTTTAATCAGTTTTAAAATGATTTGTAGACTATGTACCTCTTTATTGCCAGCACCCTGACTGGACTGCCACTGTTCTGTAAGTTCCTATTTCTAAGCCTTTTGATGTGCGCCTATGAGGTAAGGACACTGCAAACTCTCAGAGGAGCTGAGGGGCACTTCAATCTGTCCCAGTATCACTCTTCTCCCAAGATGGGGTCTGATATGGAATATAAAATGGGGCCACTGAAGTAGAGGCAGAAATTATAGTGGCAGGAATAATAAAGGTTAAAATGGAACTGGATACAGGCAAGGTTTTCAACCAGGTTTCTCTGACTGCTCTGCTCTCATGTCTCTTAGAAACTTTTCAGGAAAAGATCCTTGGGATCTCTGTATTTCCTGCCTGGCTACTGAAAAACCAAGTGGACCTTGGGTGTGCCTGTTTGTGGAGGATATTCTATGTCCATATTCTTCAGGGAGATAGCTGGGGTGCTGGGGACAATGGGAAGTGGATGGCCAAGAACTCAGAATCCGACCTCTGACTATCCATCTTACCAGGAGACATTACTAACCATGGCATATGCCGTAGCTGCCTTTGGAGAAGTAATACACTTTGGGATACAATGATGTTTTTTTTTGGTTTAAAATAACACAATCTTAAACTCCTAGTCCAACAATCTGCTTCCTATACATATTAATTCGTAGATTATCTTCTTATTCAATCAATAATAACAGACAAGGAAATAATTTATGTAAATTACATTTTCCAAGAATGGATGTGGAACTACAAAAAGCTAGACAAATAGAAAGTGTTCTGTACAGTGTGCTACTGTTTTAAAAGAGTTTTCCAGAGAGTGGGGAGTATTTGGAGGGAAGTTAAGGATTATTCTTCTGAGAAGCATAGGAAAAGGCAGAGAGTATTTTGCATTAAGACTTCAGAAACATTATGTTATTCATCAATCAGAATGATTCTTGAAGATAGATTTCTTTGAACAGGCAGGACAGCTGGTGGAAGAAGGGAGTGTCATGCAAGGGTTTACGTGGAGAGAAGGAATTGTAGGAGAAGAACAGTATTTGGGGAATGAAAGCTTTTAAGTCTACTTAGAATTTTCATGAGCTTATTGTCCTTACTTCAACATTTTCTACCTTCTGTTATTTTATAATCACAGTATAATTTTTATTCTCTTTGTAAAGCATGCCTAGAAAAATAGACTCAACAGTCAAAATAATAAAATGTTTGATATCATTATTAAAGTTTTTAATGGAATAGAAAATTTGATTTAAACATGATTTAAATGGTTAGCAGTCTCTATTAAAATAAATCTTCCTGGAGCCTAATTACTTTTTCTCTTCTTATAAAATATTTAACTACTATTATTCTCCATGGATGAGTCATCTTCATTGAAATTATAATGTTCTGTGTCTTGGCATCTATGTGTGTCTATATATGTGCATGTGTGTGGAAGCAAGTATGTGTACATCAGCCAGGGGCTTGGTAAAAACCAGAATTTGTTCATATGGTTCAAATGAAGAGACTTTAACAGGCTAACAGTTGATAGGCTTAAGGGGTTAAACAGGTCATGCTGTGGCACTCAGACTAGCAACAAAGAGAAGCTGTTAGTCCATTGGGACCAGAGGAGGATATACAGAGTGACCAGAGCCTGGCAGGAGCTGTGATTGAAAGGGACACAGCTGCCACCAGTGATAATAGTGTCAAGCAGAGAGAGTGATCAGAAAAGGAATGTCCCAACATTTTTCTTCTTCTGCCTTCCAGTCACCTGCTGGCCCCTCTCCTTGGCCAAATCCAACTGGAAGCCAGCCATCTGGGAGTTCTTGGGATACGATTCATGGAGACCAGCCTACCTGATACAGAGAAGGGCAGGAAACAGTGAAGAATGGATCTGGGTGAGGGAATTGAGAAAGACTGGCACATTTTATGCCTTTTGTCACATAGCATTCATTCTTACTTAGAAGATGAAAAAATTGTCACCCCAACACTGAAGAGACACAGAATCTCATCAACTATCAGATAGTAATGGAATGATGTATTCAGTTATAACTTCAACTGAAATTTAAATTGTAACATTCTCCATCATCACAACCTTTCACAGAAGATATTAAGGAAAGAGGAGAAAAATAATCAATCAACACAAAATATGCATAATGACTACGGTACCTGGCTCTGTCTCCCATTACTAGACCAAAGATTGTTGTATTTTCTTTCTTCCAGCATCCATTAAATATTCTCCTTATACTCTGCTAGCATTTCAGTAGACATGTGTATTTATCAGGTGTAGTGTCACAAGCCTTCATATCTAAACTATCTGAGATCATAGTCTTATCTTTATCGAGTTGTGGCAATTTCCTATTGAGAAAATGGCTTGCACGCAGGTGGTTTAAATGGAAAGTGATCACAGGAAGCAATAGTGAAAAACAAGGGAAGTAAAACAGGGAAGGGATGAAGGCATTACAGGGTGGGCTGCATTATCAAGTTAGCCATGCTATGGGTGCCTGGTACTCAATCCTGCAGATCCATCTGAGGAGCCTTTAGACTTACATCTCAGAACTGGCTTTCCCAGGTATAAAAAGATAGGAATTTATTGTTTGGTTCATAACCCCAGGAACAGTGCTTTGTTGCTCCAAGCATTGTCACATGTGTGTTAACTTCCATGGGTTAGGCATGCAATGAGTGAGTACTGAGTAGATTCCCACAGATGACCCCTGCTGTACATCCAAGAAACCACAGGACAAGAAGCAAAAGGCACACAGCAAAGGCATGAGGTGAGGTGCTGTCAGTTTGCAGTTGCACAGAGCTAGTCCACAATTTGTGGAAATAGTCACAACAGGAGTGGGTGGAGTAAGGGTTGGAGCTGTATGGAAAAGAAGTGGGACACAAGATATATCACATAGTATAATGCAAGCACCAACCAAGTACATAGGTAATAAAGCAATAACTAACAATGTTGAGAGTGGAGTCCAGAAAACCATGAAAGAAGTGTTTAACCTGAATATGATTTTGAAAGATGATTATTGGGCTTGGGGGAGGGGCATTTTTTAAAGGGATCAGTATGTGCAAAGGCCCACAAAATTAAAACTATGTAGTATGTGGGAACTTAAAGTGTTAGTTTTCTCAACATCCCAGATCTAACTGTTCTTTTTCATGTAGTAATCTTTTAATTATATTTTAAGATACTTTGAAAAATAAGCACATCCTCAGACTATATGACTTTGGCAAGCCTATAAATATATTCTAGCTGCCATTTCCTCATCTATACAAGAAGCATGTTGGACCATGTAATCTCTAATGCCTTTTCTGGCTCTTTGCTCCTCTGCACATCATTTTACGCATACTGATAGCATTACACACGGGCAGGTAAAACGAGTAGCTGCTGGAAATCAGCTCATATAAACGTGTAAGAAGTCTGTCTACCCAATGGTAGAATTGTCTAGAAATGGATTCTGGAGTAATAAATGTGGGAAAATGTGGAGGCTACATTATTCCTTTTGCTTAAGCATTCATTATAACTCATGTAGAAAACTCCCCACTTGTAATGTGTAATGCAGTCTTGGTTGCTCAAGCAGCATCCTAAATATTACCTGTATTAAAATATTTTGTTTTAAAATTTCTTACCCTTAAAATATAACTTGCTTGATCATGTAGAAGGTGAATTGGTGGGAATAATTTGAACTGGGAGAGTTTGATAGTTATTTTCAAGATTATATTAGTCTCTGCTGACTAGTTCTCTTGTCATGGAAATAACTGTAGGAGAAATAATCTGGCTTACTTATAAAAACTAAATATTCTGCAAAATGAATCATAAAAATGTTGTGTTTGTTAGCTTTTTAAATTAGCAACTAATATAAGTTGTTTTGGATTAGGGTAAGAGGTGTAAACAAAAGCATTTATATACATAAACTAATGTTTACACAATATTCCAGGTGTGATAGGTATGTCATAGGTGAAAGGTACCAGTGTTTCCTGGAATTCTCTAAAACTCTGTGATCCACTTTAGGCTTTCTCAAATCTATTATACTTATAGTATAAAACAGTTACATTGTAATTGGAAACACTTCTGAATCACTTTCAAATTTGCCAGCTAGTAAGAGACACAATTCTTTTATTCATGGTGATTTGAACATTGACATACTATCATAGTTCATGTTAAAATATCTCATATATCCATCTTTAGAGCTTCACAAATTCACATCTCTCGAAAGAAATATGTATTGTAAGACTGAATTCGCAAGGTACACCTAAAGCAAAGGCTGGCTTTAATCTTTTCTCAGTGCTATGGGCCCAAATCAGTGGTTTTGTTAAGTGGCATTAACAAAATTTTCAAACTATTATTGTACCAACAATGAACAAGTAGAATTTGAAATTAAAAACATTATTGTTTAAATGAACATCCACAAAAATGAAATACTTAGGTATAAAACTAACAAAATCTATGTAAGATCTATATGAGAAAGTTATAAGACTCTGATGGAAGATATCACAAAGAAATAAATGAATGGAGAGATTGCCCATGGTTGTGAATAGAATAACTCAATATTGCCATGTTATCAGGGTCTTCCCAATTTGATCTGCAGATTCAATGTAATACTAATCAAAATTTCAGCAGGTTATTTTGTAGGTATTGACAAACTTAAAGTTTATAGGGATAGGCAAAAGACTCAGAATAGCCAAAATCATTATTGGAGGAGAACAAAGTTGGAGAAGGATTCTAGACAAGTTATGCCAGAAAACCTCTGTGTCTTGGTCCTGCTTGCTACCCATTGCCTTACTCTGCATTTGCACAGCACCCAAGAAACCTTTACAACTTAGCCCCTTTGAGATACTATATAGAAGGCCATTCTTAACATCTGACTATTAACAAGTATTCTTATTAATAGATCCTAATCTTAACTTCACAACCTCTTATGTAACTAATCTGAGCCAAGTCCAACAGGTGCTCCAAGAATATGAAAATCAGCATTTACAAGCTGATGCTACAAAATACACCACCCAAGTTCCCCCAGGAGGATGAATTCTGCTCAAATCCTTGGAGGAGGGGTCCCTGACAAACTGGATGCCCCCAAAATGAAAAGGCAAGTTTTAATGAGTACCCCCATGGCACTTAAGTTGGAGAGAATACAATAGTGGGTACACTTGTCTAGGTCAAGCCTGTTTCTCAGTCTTTGCAGACAGAAGACATCACAGATGCTGGTCAAGACTCCTATTCCTGCAAACTCATTGAGGACTTCAACTATCTTTTCAAAAGACAACCACTAGGCCATTGCTCAGATAAGTAAATTTGCCTTTTTTGGTTTGATTTGTGAAGCTATTTGTTGGTTAGCTTTACTTTTGTCCCTTTACATGACTTATCTGTTTACTTGCATTTTTCTACCTACTTACAATAATTCTCACTGTTGGTAAATACTAACAGTCCCATTACTTTTAACCCCTCTGCTTCAGATAACCAAATCCAAATATGCTTTTTTATGGCTAGATTCCCTTTGGAGTTTAACTCAAGAAAAATGAGAACAAAATATGTATATTTAAACTTGCCAAACCATGTGCTCCAGGGCTAACCTTACCAACTGCTGGGTTTCTCAACAAAACCCACACACTTTGCCTCCTGACCCACTTACCTTGGTCCATAAAAAGGGTTAATTTTTCCCTACCATTTTATTAGATGGGCTCCTGCCATCACTCCTATTTAAGAACTCCTTACTCCCAACATTTCCAATACTAGTTGGCCTTCCTTTATACTTCCCTTAACCAACGCCTACAATATTCTTACTTTAGACTACAGAGCCCCAAACCCAGGCAAGCCCCAGCAATGCAAGCCCTGTGCTAAAAAAAAAATGGCAAAAAACCAAAAAATGGCTATCAAAGTTCCTGCTCTTAGGAAAAGGCCACACAACCTTCCAAAATAAAAATTCCTCTTGCCATTATAATTATAGTCAAAACACCTTAGTTTGATGCCAGCCATATACTATTACTTGCCCTAATTGCCAACCCTATACTGTTCACATTCCCACCCTCAGTTGGCTCAAGGTGTCTGAATTTGTGTTTAAGCTAGGTTATTTGAATTGAAGAGACTAGAACCATCTTATAAGCAGAAATCTTACTTTCCCCTCTAATGCCAATAATTCACAGCCTCAGTGGGCCAAATTAATACAAACACTTAAGAAAAGCCCGCCAGTTCGGTTGTGTGCACCTAGAGGTATGATATTTCTCTGTGGGCCTTGCCTGAGACCTCACGCAGGGAAAGACCTTGACTACCCCTACCTAGAAAATACCAGAAAATGCACAGCAGGGAATGCAAGCTAGGATATCTGACATCAAGTGAAATCCAAGTTTATTGTAAGCCATATATTGCCTGGATTAAGAGGGCCAGTGGCCTAATAGTGGCTGGAATAATAGGCACAGTCTACTTGCTCCTTGGAGTGGTTTTATCTACTGTGAAACCATCCTCAACAACATCACTTCCCCTTTAGAAACCACCATTTATAATCATGAAAATGCAACAAACCAGTTGACAATCTCCCTCAATTCACTTACAAATTTAGTTTTAGGAAATCAAACAGGATTAGATTATACATTGGCCACCAAAGGAGGGGTTTGCACTGTATTAAACTCTTCCTGTTACACTTAGATTAGTACCTCTAGCCAAGTCTCTACAAATTTACAAAAAGTTTATAAGACGGCTGAATGGCTGCACAAGACAATCAAAAGGAAAAAGACAGATGCAGCGTCTAATATGTGGAAGAAACTATCCTCTTGGTGGCCTAATTTTAGATAAATGATGTGGTCCTAGCTAGGACCCTTTATAGTCCCCATTATAATTGTAATTTTTGCTCTCCTTTTCTCTCCTTGCATTATTAAACTTTTAAAATCTCTTGTCTCTCAGGTTGTCCAGACTACCACACAATGTGTCTTGACATTCCAAGGGTTCCACCTCATCTCTCTTCAGAAAGATGAAGAATGAAACTATCAAAATCCTCTTAATCAGGTGGCTTGTTCCTTCTATCAACACCCACCTGACCTACCTGAGGGCCCCAAAAGTCCCTCCCACGTAGTGAGGTGCCTTAAAGCCCATGCTCTGACACCCATCCCATTAACAGATAAGGAAAAAGATGTAAAAGACTTTGGTGTCCACAGGCAGGGTCAATGCTAAGTACCAGCAACAAGCAGATTCAGAAGATCTTCCCTCAGCCTCTCTTGTAAGATTCCAAGGGCCCAAAGCTCTTAAGTAGAGGGGAGAATATTAGAGTAG